GAACGATTACCACCTACCCCAGGTTGCAGTGCATCATACCTATGACTTCCCCACAGACGCAAGCTACCTATCTTATGTGAACAACATAAAGGCGCGTTTCCCTGGGAAGGCCACATGGATGTCGGTGCGTCCTCCTCAGCTTTTGCACTTCTGGGTTTGAATTGGCGAAGGAAATCTGCTGCTCCCTGGGCTCTGCCAACGGCGCGGGGCGCGGCTGGTCGGGTGGATACGATCCAACCATCGGCAACGCCCTCATGTTTGCGGGCCTGGTGTTCCAGAGCTTTGTGCTCGCAGGCGAACCTCATTATGATGTGAGGATTTATCTCTGAGCACCGCGGCCTGGCCTCACTGACCCTGTGGGCGTGCAGTTCTGGACACTGGTTTCGAACGGTATGCCCTCTATTATGCTCCCAATATGCCATGATCATGTTTTGGTGAAGGAATCGGCTGCTCACCTCTCACGAGCCCCACTTGCGCTACTACCCCGAACGCCAATGGCTGGACGGTATGTGTAACCTTGGCGACATTGCCAGTCCGCCTTCAACCCTGGTCATCACGTAGGACGGAATGATTTACTACGACCCAAACTACGCCACAAACAAGAACTTCAATCTGTGTACGTCTTTTTCAAACCCCTCTGCACTTTGGTTGAGTTATATCAGACCTCACCAAACATTTCTACACATATAAGCACTTTGGAAATTTTGTTAAACGTACGTCCAATTCCTCCCGTTATTTCAGCCGACCTCGTATGATTTCGGGTCCCAGCGGGCACCCAGCGCCAGCCCCTTACCGGCCCGGATGTGCAGCAATGGATGATGGCGGTTTCCACTCCAACGACCTACTCCGTCCTCGCGATGAACCCAAATGCAACCGACACTACGCTCTCGCTCACGTTTCCCGACACTGTCTGCGCCGTGTCCGCCTTCCGCACTTCCGCCTCCGAGGATTTCGCCGCAGTTGCCGCTGCGACGAAGCCTGCCGTAGCTTGGCTGCTCCCACTGAAGACGATGAGCTTGACGACGTACATCTTCGATAGGAAGGCTTGCTGAGCGGGGGATTGACATTCTTCGCGGTTTCTCAACTTTCTGGCACTATGTACCATCTTACTGTTTGGATCATCCGATACAATTTGCACAGACCAGGTACCGTTCCCCGCCCCCGACGCAACTGAACACGCCCAACCACGTTGACACCACGCTAAACATACATACGTACATTGGTCCTGCTCGGAGCATCTCCACGAAGAAGACTGCAAATTACAACGCCATTTTACGGGGATGATAACATCAAGCTTCCGTGCACGACGTCGTCGCGCAGCTTTCCCTATGCTGCACCAGATGCAACCTTGCACGGGCGCTGTTTTGAAACTGTCAGAAACGGCATACTATTGTGTGTTCTACCTGATCTTGGACCGCACGGGATATCTTCCTTGACACAAGTAAATGTCCATTCAGGATTGGAATAATGTTTTTGGCGAGCTGTTTTGCTTTGGAATCGTGGAGTCCATGCGTCAACCATGCGTACAAGTCAAACGGCATCCTCTGTTGAGCTGACCCTACATACCCCCAGCCTGTCGCAGTGGAAGTGAAGTATGTTTGAACCTTGATGTGTTCCGTCCTGAAGTCTCACGTCCTCCTCGTAGCTCACCTCATTTCGCGCCGATCCTAGGTACAAAAAGCTCGTAGGCACTCTCGAATGCCATCTAAGCACAGTGCCATGTTGAGGCACGTACCTACCAAGTGCCGTGAAGGTTTGTTAGGCGGCGGCGAATATAGTTGGGCGGACAAGCTGACAGCTGTGGCAGGCGGGGCGCTTTAGCGACGCAGGCCTGGCCCCGTGAACATTCTGTTGCTCAACCGGGTCCCCACGAAGCTGCATGGGCATCATTATACCTGTTGAAGTGGGTTTAGAAGAGTTCGTGGGACAACAGAACCATTGGAGTGCAAGCTTATAAGGCTCGGTGAAAACAACCGCGCACCATTTGTCTTTTCACAAGCATCCTGTTTCAGAAAATGCTCAAGCCGCCTGCCTTGGGCATCCGAAATTCTGTTTCTTGATAGAGACGTATCTGGGGCTCATTAATGTTCCGATTAACAACAAAGAACCACTACTTTCTTCTGTACATCTGAAAGGCTGCCATGATCCAGGGAGTCGCACACTGCTTCACATCCTAGGAAAGCACAAAATGCCCTGAAGCTCGGCTCATCCAATTCTAGCCCTTGCAGACCGGGGGGTATTGAAAGATCCGACAGCCGCGTTTTGTTGCGTTAATTAAATGCTCAGATCCGGGATTGTAGAAGTATCTGTGGAGCGAACGTACACGCTGGAGACAGCTTGGAAAAAGGCATGCTCTCGTGCACAGAAAATGCGGCCGCTTACAAACCGCGGCCGCACAGTATATATACCAGGCTAAAATGCACCGCTTCTCACCCCGTTTCCTCCTTTGTCCCGCCGGTAAGATGCACTTCTTGACTAAGAACGGACCCACTAACCGCTACTGCGTAGATTGACGCACGTTGCCGACCCGCTTGCCCACCCGTCGTTGCCGTTCAACCACCTCTGCAAAAAGGCTACCAGAGCGCATTGAGCGCAGGATTCGATTCACGCGGGGAGAACAAATTGCATTGGTGTCGAGCTCGATAAGTTCTATTGAACTGTTAGGAGGCAAAGCGGCGGGGAGCTTGGAGAACATGTTTGAGGCTTGTGGGAGAGCTTGAACTACAGAGGGATGTGTTCGATTATAAGCCCAAAATTTGACCTGCGATAGAAGTCATAGAACGACATCGAAACAGGATCGAGGTGGAATCCCAGAGAGCGCACGTCTCGGAAAATAATTGTCCCGTTTCCTACGGTTCCAACAACAAACACCCACTCGCCAAGTATAAGTACTGGTGTCACGACGCGATGAAGTACGAATCTCTGCTTCAATCAATCAATCAATCAATCAATCAATCAAAGTTCCATTAGGGTGCGCGCGGGCCCCTGGGGGCCCATGTAGCACCATGCAAAGTACATGGGAGCGTGTCTAGCTAACGGTAACGGTAGGGCGGGATATGGGAGTACGCGGGAAGGAGGTCGTAAAGCGTGCTGTAAGGGGTTGTGTAATGAATATACTAGGGACGAGTCTTGGCAATGTCGTAGCTGAGGTCGAGATGGTATGGAGAGAGAGTAAAGTAAAGTGAAAGGAAAAGAAAGGAAAAGAGAAGCTTCACAGCGCGTAGCGCGGGAAGCGGTCCGTCTCGCGCACGAAGCGGAGGACGGGTTTGTGATCCGCTTTGGCGGCGAGGAGTCTGCGGAGGGTGAGGCGTGCTGTGCCGAGCTTGAGGATCATGGTGAGGCGCTCGCGTCGGTATCGTGGGCAGAGGAGGAGGTAGTGGGAGACCGTCTCGGGTACGAGGCACAGCGGGCAGTCGGGGGAGGGGGCGAGATGGAAGCGATAGAGGAACGCGTTGAGGGCGAAGTGGGTGGTGCGCATTTGCGTCAAGATGCTGCATTGCGGGCGACTCAGGTCATCGTACATCCGTGATGTGGCGTTGGACGGGCGGGCGTTGTCGAAGCCGGAGAGGCGGCGGTAGCGGGAGGAGGAGGACCACTCCTCGAGCCAGCGGGCCTTGAACGTCTTCATGCCGGCGTCCAGGATGGCGGCTTTGCTTGCGGGCAGGGGGTGCTCGAAGGGGACGATACGGGTGGTGAGGTCGGAGGAGGAGCCCTGCGCCGCCTCTTTTGCTCGCTTGTCGACCGCTTCGTTCCCCGCGATCCCGATGTGGGCGGGCACCCAATGGAAGCGAATCTTCAGGGTGGGCCGGGCGCGAAGGAGACGGCGGTGGAGCGTGTGGAAGAGCGAGAGCAGGTATTGGCCGGGTTGGGGGCGGGGCGCTGCGAGGGCTGAGATAGCGGGTTGGCAGTCCGTGAAGACGTCAGCGTCTGTGAGTCGCGGCGTGGACTTGATGATGTCGAGGGCGAGGATAGCGCCGACGACTTCCGACTCGAAGACAGTGTGGGTGTCCTGCTCACCGAGGTACTTCGTTCGCACCAGCCCTTCTCCCCCGTTGCCCCATGCGACCGCTGCCGCGCCCACTCCGCCTTCGAAGCCCGATCCGTCTGTATACACCCTGAATCCGCCCTTCCTCGCAACCTGTTCCTCCTCCGCCTTGGCCAGGTCCTTGTCCGGCGCGATCCGCATCGTCAGCGCGCCCGGCGGCGCACACTCGATCTCCAGGTGGGGGTCGATGAGCTCGATGGGCCCCTTGAGGAGGGGGAAAGCAGCGCGAAGGTGGTGGATGGGGGAGCGATGGAAGCGAGGGACGAGCCTGCAGCGGTGGAAGACGCGCTGAAGGGGGTGGGAGGGGGGGAGGGTGGCGAGGCGGACCGCAGCGTTGAAGACCGAGCGGTTAAGGCGGATGTGGATAGGGAGAAGATTGGCGTGGAAGTCCAGTACGTCCGTTGCAGTGGTGCGCAGCGCTCCAGTGATGAGTTTGGCTGCCCGCCTCTGCACCTTGCCTAAGGCCTTCGCGATCCACACTCTCCCGCTCCTGCGCGCATCCGTGTTCGCTGAGACGGGGTTGTACCACACCGGGAGCGCGTACTCCATGCGCGGCACCACGACCGTCTGGAACAGTTGGCGAGTGTATGCGTGCGGGAGGCCGAAGGTGGGCGAGGAAATGCGGGAGAGGGCGAGGATCGCCTTGGTGCCCCGGCTTTGCGCGAGCTCGACGTGGTTGCGAAAGGAGAGTTTATGGTCGAGGACGACCCCAAGCAGCTTCGCAGTCTCGGAGGCTTCGACGGTGACACCGCCGAAGGTAGCTGAGAGCGGGACGTAGTGCGTAGCGTGCTTCCGGGGCGGGACGAAATGCATGAGCTGGAACTTCGACAGGTCGAACTGCAGGCCGATGCGGGCGGCGCGCGGGCAGGTGTCTTTACGAATCTCTGCTTCGCCACGCATGAGGGCGCGAGATCATATCCCTGTGTAGGAAGCCTGGGACGCGCCCGTCCCTCGTACACTGGTGGTGAAACGGTATCATGCTTGCCTTCCAACAAACCAGTCGAAAGCAAGCGGCAGGGGTTCGACTCCCTTTCAGTGTATGCTTTATGCTTTTGCATTTTGTATTTTGAAGCCCGTCTCGACCCAACTTGTGTTTTTATCTTTTCGGGGTTTACTTGGTCCCACACCCATTTGGGACACAGATTCCATCCCAGACCTGTCGCAGGGACCTGTCCCATGATTTGCTCTCACTTCCGTTGACGCTTCTACCACCTTCGTTCCGATCTGAGGCGATACACAGCATGTCTAATTTTTTCCCAATCACTGTCAGGGGGTAACGGCGAGGAAAAAGCTAGAGCACCTCGCTTCGACCCGAATCCGGATTGAAAAAGAGAGAGAAAATAAAAGTTCCGGTGATACTCGAACACATCCCCCTGTAGCTCAAACTATCAACCAAGCCCAAAAGTATTGCACGCGCTCTCCGTTGCTTCCTTTCGTTCAATATGTGACTTGTGGATCTTTTTAGTTTCTGTGGGAAATGAAGCCAGATTGGCCAGGTGAGCCTTGGATGTCTGCGTACCGGGTTTTGTCTTTTTGCTCCCCCCCTTTTTTTGTCAAGACGCCGACGCGGCGGGTGCGGGCAGCGTGGGGGATTGACGAGCTCTTTTCAGTGGAATAGATAAGTCGAGGATTGCCGGCGTCAGCTGGGAGGTGCTACATAGTACGGTGCATTTAATTGCACCTCCTTATACCGTAGAATTACGTCAATCGATAGTCACGCGTCACGCGGACCCCTATCGATATCGAACTTTGCTCTGTGTCACGCGTCACCCGGGCGAATATCGAATTGGTCTCACGGTTCGAAATTTGCTCTTGGGACGCCAGGAGATCCGGCAAGACATTTTTGAGTGCTTTCAGGGATGGAAAACGCAAAATCAGCGCTATTCCTACGGTATATGTCCGCGCTCTCATTATGAACAATCACGTCTTCCTCACTGGTTGAACATTTCGAATAATTACTTAGCCGAAAGAATCGATGAAATTTGTTCATAATTTGTTGATGCACTGGGCTGGACACAGAAGACATGCGCCGCAGAGTAGGTTGTCACGCATCTCGGTCTAAATTCAAGGAAAAGGAAAAGCACAAAATGGGATTTATTCGCGACATTGAACACGAATCAGGGCCCGAAGGTAGAAGGTACAAACAAACGCAAGGCCTCAGAAACTACAACGGCTCGATGCAAGGAAAGTCCATCCGACTGCACGCAAAACTAGAGAGTGATGGGGAGGCAGTTGATGGCGATGAGACCACCTGGAGGGAGAACAGGTCATTTCCCCGGCAGAATATATGTTAATAGTGGATACGCACCCCACTCGGTTTCCGGAGCATCACAATTAACGGTGGTGCTTCCGCTAAATATGCACATGAGACTGGGTTATTGTAGAAGGCAAGGGGATATACCAGTTGTTTCCGATGACGGTGATGGGCGAGCAGCTCAACCCGATCGGCACATCGAGGCCAGTGAGGTCAAGGCCAAGGAGGGCGGCCACGGCGGAGACAGCCGAGCTGGTGACGGACTCGATGCTATTGCAGCACTGCGGGGAGGTCGGGGGCGTGACCGGGGGAGGGGGAGTGCCTCCGGGCATGGCGGCAGCAAGGGTCTGAAGATTCATAAATGAGTTGAAAACCGGAAGAATATGGGAATGCATTGCAGCGTACGATGAGCACAGAGACAGCAACGACGGAGAGCTTGGTGAACATCTTTGCTTTACGGAGAGCTTGAACTACAGGGGGATGTGTTCGAGTGAGGTCTGAAAGAGAACGGCCGTGCCTTTTATATCCCAACATTCCGTGTCGAATAGCTCCACCGCTCCACTGTAACAGAACAATTGGGAGGTCTGTGCTCTTCGAGCGCAACCACGGGATCGTTGGATTGAAAATGCCCGGAGAAGCAAGGGCCATTATCTTGCATGGCCAAAACGGGAGTAATGAGCCGACGAGACGAGGTGTGGTCGTCCGTGTGAAGCGCGTGAATAGTAGTTCCTGCGACATCCCACGTCAAGTCAACCAGCACGTAACGACGAGCGTTGTATCTTGCCGATGTTGAAGTTGGAATGTTTATTACAATTCATGGCGTACGTGTGTCTTGCCGCAAGTCAACTATTGGCTGTATGCAAGCGCGCTTGCAAGTGCACTTGTTTGCAAGCGCACTTGTTTTTTTTTTTCGAATTTGCGATTCGCGGCAGCCACTGGAAACACGTCGTGTTTAGGCTGAGTAGACGGGTCCTGCGAAAGAAAAATGGTGTCATTGGCCTCCGCGGGGTTGATGTCAAACCGCATGGGTTGCGGCGAAAGAGCGCCTTCGATCCTAAAACGTATGGTTTCCAATGTCACGAGCACGTCCGCACAGTCGCCGTCGGAAGATCCTATGAAGCACAGATGAATTAGACAGACAGGATGAATGTTGAGATTATTTTGGAACGCTGAAACGAGGCAAACGTTAGACGCATGGAATCGGAAGGTTGGACACACGTAGGAATTTGATATACGCCACCGGCGTGGAAGAGAGTCTGCTGACCATCATGTGATGTGACTGCAAAGAAGAAAGGCTCATTAATCATGGCCGGGGAGAGATAACTCCAAAAAAGAAGAAGAAAGGGTTTGCGCATCAGCCATATGAGCCATCTGATGGCTTTTTTGATGTGCGCACGGTATGGCTAATGGCTTTTCAAGACCAGTTCAACCAAATTCAAAGAGCCTCGAAAATAATGTTAGCTGGATGCATTGACCCACATTGTACCGGCAGGATGAGGTTTGACGGTTAGAGAGTCCCAGCTCTGCGATACTGTATACAACGGCGATATATTCGATCCCGGGCATGGTCCGGCCTTTGCATAAATTTTACGCCGATTTCGCCACACCGAGGGATCGTACATAGCTCATACAACCTGCAGACATGACTGTAAAAGCAGAAGAAAGTATGTTTTCCGAGCCATATGGCAACATTTTGCGCACGCCCACAAGGCCATCTGATGGCTCATATGGTTGTTGCGCAAACAGGTTAATCTCACCGCAGAGAAAACTTGAAGATTTTTCGTCGTAATCCCAATAAATGACGCGAAGTTTGAGCAAATCCCAATCGCCAGTTAAATTTTGATGTCTGTTGTACGGATCCATGGTCGCCCAGCGACGGTCATGCACAGGTTACCAATCATAGGGACACGCGGATAGATTATTTGCACACCTAAAGAGGAAGTAGCCTCAGCATCTACCCGCTAGTAGCATCATCGAGGAGTTTTGCAGATGCCAAGGTACGAAAGCAAGGCACGTTCGCACAAAACCAGCGAATTGTCAAGTAAGGACGCAGAGCATATCATGGGTTGAGCGTGAGAAGCAACAAGAACGTCAGCTATCGAAAGACTTAGAAAGGGCAAGGCACTGGGGCGTGCGCGCACTGCGCAGGAGGCTTCAGCAACCCAACACTCGATCCAACACTGCAAGTCCAAGGTGCTTCAGCTGATCAGTGAGCCCGGCGTATTTCTGGAGCACTATTACGGAGTAAACGAGAGCAGGTGCGTGAAAACAAAGCAATGGGTTTCTGGGTTCTCTGTGAGTGAGGCTTCCGGGCTCCGGGGGTCGAAATCCGACGGTGGGACAGGCAAATCGGTGCCACCGATACATCCCGTAGAGCTAGATTTCAAGGACGGACGAGACGAGACGGAGATCATGGACTCGAGTTGGACTCGAGGCAAGAGGAGGCATTGAGGCAAAGAGAAGACAAATGATCGTGAGAAACTGATTCTTTGATCGCCGGGGCCGGCGCGATGTGATGGAGGGTATTGCCGCATGCCGCTTGCCGCTTGCATCGCAGATTTAATCAATGCATTTCCCATTCCCGCACCAGATCCTCACGCACTGCTCATGGATCTACCGTTGACCTCGGCCGCGCGGTACAACTCCTTACATCCGACTGGCTGCCTCTGTTGAATCCAAGTTGAATCAGTGTTGGTAAAGCAATGTATATCGCCACCGCCCTCGCCAGATCATATAGTCAATATAAACAGTGCGGAAAGGATAGTCCCACTGCACCTGGACGCGTTGCTGATTGATGTCAAAAGGCTACACACAGTCGCAGCTAAGACTTCCGCGCTACGCTACTAAGATTCGTTTCGAAGCGGGCACACAAGAACTTAGAAGAAGCACGAAGCAATTTGCGACTGATAACCATCTTGTCAAGTTGAACGTTCTTCAATGAGTCCGTTGCTCGCACACACAATGCAACACTCAGCCCTTCTCGCGAGTTGAAGGCCTCGTGCGTCTTTCAGACTCTTTCTCGAATCTCAACGACATCCTTTATTATGCACACGACATTGGAGGTCTACCGCGGAGCAGCAAACTGCAGTCTCTCATTCTTCTTGCTTTCGGGATCCCGGCAACATCTCGGGACAGGATGGAAGCAAGGCACACAGAAGCACGGAACGAACTGAATGCACCGGCAGACTTCCTGCCGATATTCCTTCGCTGACACCTCCAATTCAAGGAACTAACGCCGCACCTCCATCATACTTTGGCAATCGCTTCACACGGATTACTAGAGTATAAGTAGCCTCTGCCTCGCAAACCATAGCCAGTTCCAAATGGCCGCCATCCAGTGTCTACCGGAAGGCTTTACCCATATCACCGACTTCCAAGGCGACGTGCTCGACAGCATCGGCAATGGCAATAGTATAGCCAACAACTTTGTCGTCACCGGCTTCCCCAGGAATGTTCCCACCACTGCGAATCAGCAGGTGAATTCATTATCCCAGAATGAAGATTGCACGGACTGAATGCTGCGCGCAGTGGTTGTTCACCCCAGTATCCTCAGCTACGAACGACACATTTCTTATCATCAACGCAAATTCTCCAGACCCTTTTTTGTCTTCTGTCGCCACCGGAATGGTTCGGTTGACCCAAGCAGCGACTGTGGCGTCGCCGGTAAATTTCACCGTGGAGTGTCTCACCGTTAACACCGCCCAGTATGTTGTGTAGACCCGTTCAGTATTCATTTTGCTCATGTACATTTAGTATTCGGGACACCCTATTTCAATCGGTGCTGAC